GCAACCTCCGCCTCCTGGGTTCAGGCAATTCTCCTGCCTCAGCCTCCTGAGTAGCTAGGATTACAGGCATGCGCCACCATGCCCAGCTAATTTTTTGTATTTTTAGTAGAGATGGGGTTTCACCATGTTGACCAGGATGGTTTCGCTCCCTTGACCTCGTAATCCACCTGCCTCAGCCTTGTCTTTTTTATTTCATGTTTTCTGTACCAAGTCTAAAACCTTTTTGCTTAACTCTCCATTTAGAATATATTTTAGGCCAGGTGCAGTGGCCCACATCTGTAATCCCAGCACTTTGGGAAGCCGAGGCAGGTGAATTGCTTGAGGTCAGGAGTTCGAGAACAGCCTGGTAAACATGGTGAAACCTTGTATCTACTAAAAATAAAAAAAAAATTAGCCAAGCATAGTGGTGGGCACCTGTGATCCCAGCTACTCGGGAGGCTGAGGCAGAAGAATCACTTGAACCCGGGAAGTGGAGGTTGCAATAAGCTGATATCGAGACACTTCACTCCAGCCTGAGTGACAAAATGAGACTGTCTCAAAAATAATTTTTAAAAAATGATTTTTAAAAAGAATAATTTAAAAACTTTTGTCTGTTTCCTATGTTTTATAGTTTCATATTTTTCATTTAAGTTCACAATCTACTTTGAGTTACTAATAATTTCTTTATAAGATATGAAATTAAAGTTGAGGTATGTTTGTTTGGTCGTGGCTGTTACTTTGTCTGTGGATAGCCAATTGCTTCAGGACAACTTATTTTAAAAGGCGATCTCTCCTCCATTGAGTTGCGTTTGCACCTTTGTCAAAATCCTGTGGGCATATGTATGCCCTCATTACTGCAGAGTGGTGGGTGGAGGTCCAGGCTCCCCACATGGTCTCCACTTCAACTGAGCAGGTGGGGTTCTCTTTACCATCTGTTTCAGATGGAAGCCTGGCTCCCTGATGAAGTCCTTCTCTTGGCAGGTTGGGTGGGGATGCAGTGTTTTCATGCAGTCTGAGGATGGCGGGTGTCTAGACTTCCTACTTTGCCTTTGCTGGTGTGGGTGGAGGTAGGCCCACAGTATTTTCTGTTTCTCGGCTGGAGTAGACAGCTGTTGCCTAAAAGTTATCTGTCTTGCTGTTCTCTTCCTGATCCTTTGGCTGGAAGGAGAAGGCTTTTTTGGTATAATTTTCTTGTCTGTGGCTATTAGCTTTTCTGGCTTCTTGGCTTCTCCAATATCCAGTCTGGGGTATATGAGGCAAAAGAAAATGCAGAAGCCTCACCAGCATGTCTCTCCTTGGGTCCTGAGGTCCCTAACCTATTTGCTTTCTTATCTACCTTTAAGAATCTTCATTTGCTAGTTTTTCTATGTACTATTTTTCTATATAGAGTTTTTGTTGTGCTTAGTGCAAAAAATAGGGAAAAGTATGTCTGTCTACTTCATATTTCTGGAAACAGAAGCCATGGCAGATACTTGTAGAAGGTACTCATTTTGCAGATACAGAAACAAGTTCAGAGAAATTATATGATGTACTTAAAGTCACACAGCTGGAAATGTGTCACTCATACTACAGCTATGAATCCAGCACCAGTGCTCTTTTCTTTTTATCTCTGTACATCATTTATATATAAAAACAAGCATGCAACTACCAACAGAACATTCTGTGAGTGTATGTGCAGTGAAAGTAACTCAATAGCAGGATACTCACCCAGCTATGAGCTCAGTGAGCCATGAGAGACTGATGTGTTCATGGTCCATTTTCCTTATAGTTCACTTTGGTTTATTCACATTGCATTTCGCAATGGGTTTCAAATCAGTAAAAGAAGAGAACAATGATGATGCCAGTAATGTCCTCCAGTGCTTACGGGCAAAAAGTCATTAATTGCAAAGCACAGAACTTCAAAGGATACTTCTGTACTTGGGGCAAAAGAGGGCACATTAGAGAGTTAACTGACAGCATGAGGACCTGCACATTGTCCTGAAATGATGAGATTAGAAAATGGGAGTGCTATGTTAAAATTAAGGAGGCAAAATATACAGGGAAGAGTGTATTTGGGGACGCCTCCAAGAGGGCTAACTCAGAGGCTATGTTAATAAAGGAAGTAGTTTTTGTGTTGCAGCCTGATAGAAACTGAATTTATAGATGGATTCTCCACCATGCATAAATAACCTCCTTTCCTATAACAATAACCTTTCTTGAGTACATAAAACCCATACCCCTTCATGAAACTGTCACATGACCCATCTCTTTCTTTTCTCTATTCTCGTCATCTCCAACCTTGTTCAGTCTTGTATGATCTCAAGTGAACTCAACTTCCTGTCTTCAACGCTGCCCTGCCCCCTCCCTCTCCACCTTTGCTGATAAAATGCATTCCTCACGAATGCCAGATGATCAGATGATAGTGCATGCTGCCAAGAAACTTCCCTGATTTCCTATGGCTTGCAGGAATAAGTCTAGGTATTTTTAGAAGTCAACGTTAAGAATCCTGATCTTCAGCATCCTGTCCTCTGCTCTTTTCTTAGGTATTACCAGATCCGAGTGACCTTGAAGGTGTCCTCAAGGATCCCCCACAGACTGAGTGCCTCCATAGTCGGGCAGACAGGTGAGCAGAAGAATGGCAATGGGGTGCTTGCCCCCAGTGGTGAATCTTCATTTGTCACTGCTTTCCAGGGCACAGCAGAGTGCAAGGCATGCAGAGGCACTCAGCCAATCTTTGGTGAATGTTGAATGAGTGAGTTTTAGAAACGGAGACCAAGAGTTGGAGGTGGCCATATGTGCACATTGTGGAAAGGGGGACCTGGCTTGAGAGAAATACACTTTCCCAGGAACAGCCAGTATTTGAGACAAACTTGCTGTGGGGGGGCTTGGTTAAAGTCAAGTCAGGGAGGATGCCAGTGGGAAATGACATCCAACAAGTGGGTAAAACAGGTATCCTGTTAAAGGGAACCTGGGATTCACCTAGGTACAGAGGACTAAGTGAGTAGGCGGTGTGGTAACACGTTCCATGCATAGTGAGGGGTCCGAGAGCAGTGCTCCCAGCTTGAGGAGAAGGATTGCCAAGGACAACTTGGATCCTCATCTTGAGAAGGCTGGAGTACAAAGTGGTAACCAGGGCTCTGAACAGGTAGTCTATCACAGAGTGTTATGTCAGAAATAGAGAACTTATCATGCCAGAAATAAAGACAGACATAATATTAACTAGTAGACCTGTTAGGAGTTTGCGTTAATAAATTTGGGAGAACTGTGCAGGCTAGGTAGACCTTAAGAAGAAGAAGGAGGCAGGGCATGGTGGCTTACACCTATAATCACAGCATTTCGTGAGGCTGAGGCAGGCGAATCACCTGAGGTCAAGAGTTTGAGACCAGACTGGTCAACATGGGGAAATCCCATCTCTCCTAAAAATACAAAAAAAATTAGCTGGGTGNAAAAAAAAAAAAGAAAGAAAGAAAGTACTGATACATGATACAAGATGGATAAAGCTTGAAAACATTATGCTAAGTGAAAGAAGTCAGTCACAAGACCACATATTATTCCATTTATATGAAATACTGAGAATAGGTAAGTTCATAGAAATAAAAAGTAGATTAGGGTTCCCAGGGGCTGGAGAGAGAAGGCTGAAGGGTGGGGTGAAATAAGGAGTGATTATTAATGGGTATGGAGTTTCTTATTGGGGTAGGAAAAGGTTCTGAAGACTGATTATGGTGACAGTTACACAATTCTGTGACTATACTAAAAATCAGGCACTTGTTCTTCAAGTCATCCACAGGTCTCTTCCCAGCATACTTTCCTTTTTTTTTTCCTGTTCTAAAGCCTTTTAAAAATAAACTTTCACTCCTGCTCTGAGAAAACAAAATCATTGAGGAATATACTTTAAATGGGTGAGTGGTATGTCATATGAATTACATCTCAATAAAGCTGTTGTTTAAAAAAAATTAAAGTATAGATAAAGGCTATGTGAGCTGGATGGAGTTTAGATTCTGTTGTAATATCTCCTAAGTCCGTTAAGACCCATAGCCAACCTATGAAACTGCAATAATCTGAACCTTGGCTTTACTTTAAAAAAAATAAAAACTAACATCGAGAACTTGGACCTCATTTTTGGTCATTCCCTACCAGCTCTGTACCACTTGTTTAATCGATTTCATGAGAAACATACCCAAAGTAATGATGTATATTTACTGAGCATTTATTATGTGATAGGTACTTTTCTAGGACCCAGGATTCAACAGTGAGACATGTAGTCCCTGTATACAAGACACTTACACTACATTCACCAGGCAATCTTCAGAGGGCATGGTAAGTGCTACACAGGGGTAAGTACTGGGTACTTCAGAAGCATGACCTGGGGTTGGGGTATTAGCATAGCATCACAACAGAAGTGATGTCTAAACCAGAGGTAACTAAAGTTGATAAGAAAGAGGCATAACAGGAGCATTCTAGGCAGACAGAGTAAGTGCACAGTCCTAGGCGCAACAGAGAAAGAACGGGGCATTTAAGGAATTAAAGTAGTGTTGTGTACTTGGAGTACAAGAATGGGGGATAAGGTACAGGCAGGATTGGCACAGATGAAGCTGGAGAAGACTGAGTTCTTTTAAACTTGAAATATGACAAAAAAAAAAAAAAAAAAGGAAAGAAAGACTTAAAGGTTAGAGTAGAGGGTAGGGAGCATTAAAGTAAACAGATAACAAGACAGAGCTGTGCAAAATCTGTTTTACATTAATTATAAATTACTAGTAGCCAAGAATGTTACAGAAATCCAATCCAGTAAAACCAAGAGTTGTGGTCATATCTACCCTTCATGAAATTCATTTGGAATTTGCAATGTGTTATGGTGAGTGAAATCATATGCAATTGAATACCCACAAGTTAGACACGTAGATGTGGTGTTCTGCTTAAATTTACCTTGGAAGAAGTCTGGAGGGGGACCTGGTTCCTCAGGCCACATGATAGAATGTTAGAAGAGACCCGTGGTTTCAGAGCAATAGGATAACTCAAGCATATGATCTGCAAAAGGAAAGACGCTGATGGCCACCGGCTTCAGCCTTGCCTTTGGGCAGAGTAAAGCATTAAGTAATAGGCAAGCTGCCGTATTTCCAAGGTGTTCTTTCTCTTTCCCTCTACTCCTCTCCCCTGGGAAGAAATCAGGTATCTGAAGAGTGGGAAAAGGGAGCCACCTATTCTCCTGTTTCCTGAGCCACCCATTCTCCTAGATCCAGAGTGATTTAAGCATCCCACAGTTCCCTCCTTTCCTGTCATTCTGTGCTTCACCCCTTTCCCACCCCACCTTCCAACAGAAGAAGGTCCATGATGTCCACAGAGAGAGCAGGGGATTTGGCCCCTGACCCTGTGTGAGCCAGTGTCCATATGTGTACACTGGATAAGAACATATCTGTGAACCCAGGTATATGACTAGCAGCTTGAGCTTAGGTTCCTGAACTATGAGGAAAAAAATGCCTTCTTCATAGATATTTGTCTTAGAAAGTACACTTTATAAAAAGGACATTATATATATATATATATATATATATATATATATATATATATATGTATGTCAGAACAGGAACTAGGACAAGGTAAGTATCCAGTCAGTCCCACCTGCTGCCTGTGAGTGGTCATATCATCAGGGGTGGGAGGGACCCGATCACAGGTCAAGGTGAAGGCCTTGGTGAGAGACCTAGACGTCAAGTGGAATAACACCCCAGCCGACCTGATGAAAGCCATCCCCAGACTCCCGTCAAGGACTCCGCTTCTTCCTTGTGACTGTGGATAACAGGAGCTTGGGTCCTGTCACTGGCTAAGTCATCTTTTGGAGCTGGCAGGCCCCAGCTGTGAGGACTGGAGTCCTGCAGGATACTCAGTGGTTGGCAGAGCCCAGCAAGTAGCTGGGGAAAAGAAGGGCTTGAGATAGTACTACACAGAGACAAAGAAAATGAAAATGAAATATAATTTTTGGGGAAAAACCTATTTTCTTTTTTAGTATAGTTTAACAGAAGAATAATTATGATGAAGTTGGTATGCCTTGAGCTTTATAGCAGCATACTGTTTAGAACAGAATACTAACGCAGAGGCCAGCAATAATTTACAATGAGATTGTGCCCCAGGTAAGAGATGTATAGAATTTCTTCTTCATGGTGAATTTTTCAATTATACTATTTTTGGTTAGAGACCGCTGCATTATGAAGCACTCCAAAACTTGTGACTTTTAACAATGGCTTATTCTTTTCTAATGTTTTGAGTTAGCCAGCCTAGGCTGGGGAAATTTATGCACTACCTTAAGCTGAGCTCTCAGCTGAGGATGGAGCAGCTAAGATGTCTTCACTCATCTCTCTGACCCCTTGGTTGGAGTGGCTGCACCAGATAAGAGACAGCTGGGCTTCTGTCTCCGGTTGGGTGGTCAGACTCCTTACATGTTAGCTGAGTTCACCAAGAGGGAAAATGAAGATGATTCCAGGCCACCTAAGGGCTAGATGGAGACTGCCATAGGGTGGCTTCCTCTTCAGTTCATTGGTAGGTCAGGTGACAAGGCCAGCCCCAGGGGGACGGAAATAGACTTTCCCATTCATTGAAAGCACCGTCTGCATGTACAGTGATGGGGAGAAGCTTTGGCAGTCTTATTTATGGCCAACTATCTAAACATATTTTCCATTACCTCTATGCATTTCTGAGGAAAAAAGAAAACTATATCTTTAGGCAACAAGGTATCAGACACTGGAAGAGAACCGGAGTGAAAACATCTGGACTCTAATGATGTCTTTGATACTCAGTACTTGAATGGTCTTGTTGGAACACATGATTTCATTTGCCTTTTTTATTCCATGTATCTCTAAATGTAAATAGAAAAAGCTTGCCATGTCCAAGGAGGCAGAATTTAGCAGGTGTAAGGGCCACACGCTTGGGCTTTTCAGGTATGGTTTCTACTTCTCCCACTTCTAAGCTGCTTGACTTTAGAAAAGTTATTTAACCAATTTGCTTTTCAGGTTCCTCAGCTATAAAATGGGGATGGAAGTTGGTACTTATAGGTTTGCGGTACAGATTGAATGCATTGTGCAAATTCATGCATGTAAAATGATTTACAAACATTACATGGTTTACATAGAAACCATGTATGTAAAATGATTAGACTGTTGCCTGGCACATGGTGAGCTCACAATAACAATTACTTAGAATAAGCATTGCTATTATGCATAAGAGTAGCCTATTACTTAGCAGCCTCTGACCTGTGCTGTTCATCCTGCAGAACGGAGGCTGCCTTCTGGCTCTAGAGATGCTCAAAGTCATCTCAGGGAGACAGAAGTGGTCAGATAATACTGTAGAGGTGGAGATTGTGGTGACCATCGGACCATGCAGGACTGCCTGTGCTAGGAGCCGCTGGCTTGGATGAGAAAGAGCCTCTCAGATTGGGCTTAAAGGACAAAGAGAAATTGGTTCTACAGACAAAAGTAGGGAAGGTTGACCCAGGCAGGGGTAATAAAATGACCCGTATGGAGCAAAGGTGGTTCACAGAATGAGGAGAAATCTTGTGTGGCTGCTGGTAAGAACAACACCAACATGAGAAGAGAGACAAGCTGTGGTCAGGTTTGGAGGCCATTTGCAACACACGGA